CAATATTTATCTGCTCCAAGCACATAGTGTAACTTAAACAGCCTCAACACAACTAGGGCACATGTTTTAGATAATTATTCCGCAAGAGTCACAGAAATTTCTCCACCATTTCTCTTCTCTGAACCCAACCGGTCGAGGCAGATGGCCACCCACCCTGAGCCCGGTTCTGTCAGAGGTCCTTCATGTTAAAAGGGTTTTTTTCCTCTCCATTGTACCTAAGTGCTTGCTTGCAAGGTCCTAACCTTACTGTGTAAAGTGCCTTGAAACAATGTATGTTACGATTTATAAATATAAGTGGAATTGTATTGAATTCCTGGCAACATTTACTAGAGTGGGCCAAAACGTATCACAGTGAGCCTTGGAAGCGCCAGCCCATTAAAGATAACATGAGCTGTAATCAATCACAGACATGATATAGAGATTACATGGGTGCTTTTGGTGGAACCTGATCAAATACAAGCATCAAATGTACAAAGTGATGTTTGCTAAACTAACAAATTGAAAATTAAATAAAAATCGATTTTGAGGAACATTAAAGTTTATATTAATGTTTTCAATAAAAATGTCATGTAACACTGTCTTGGTCAGTGTTAAGCAGCAGTACATTACTTCTAGTATTAAGTAGTGTAAAAGATTTAAATGTACATGTTTTAAAAAATTAAGTAAATTGAGTAATTGTTCTACTAATCCCTTTAAACCTCAGTTACTTTGAGATTTTGGGGGCAGAAATGTTAGCTTGGCGCAGGAAATCAGCTAGCCGGCCAAAATAAGTGGAACATGCCTTCTGGTAACTCCAAAGTAACCTTGTTTACATGTTACATGATTTTTAGCTAGCTACTGGTAAGCCTATAGTCAGGACAATTCATTTGTCTTTTGTTGAATTTAAGTTCAATGTTCCCTCCCCTTTTAGCCCTATTTTAGTCAACTCCCAAAGGAAATATCTGTCTCTGTAGCTGCTAAATGCTCCATTATGCTCACAAGCTAGCTGCTACCTTTCTCTCTCTGTGGTCAGATGCTGGGAGGGTAGCGTCCAGTTTTATCAGAGCTTTATAGGTAAAAACACAGATTGAGAGCAGTTAGACTAAACCAAAACAGTAAAGTTACGGGCCTGCTTTAAACCAATTAAATGCACTCCTTCTCTTATCTGAGTGGCTGTTGATACAAGCATATATGAACATTCCTGACAACAATGCTCCTTATTAACTGAGGGTACTTCCACATAGGCTACTTGTTAGATTTATTTGTGGGACAAATGGAGGTTGCATACATAACCAAAATAAGGAAGCAAGAAAACAGTTCTTCCCATGTTTTTTACACGCCCTGGGCAGCTTCATAGAGATATTGTTTGTACTTATAGTTACATATTGTCATATGTGTGTTCCAAAGGGTTAAACAATGTGTGCCCCATTAACATTCATACAGGCAGTTGATTAGCACTTCAATTCTAAGCATTATGTTTTGAACTATGATGAAAGGGCACTTCTTTAAGACAATCCCATATTGATGCATTTATCGGTTAACCCCAGAAACCAAGCTAGAGGAGTAACAGATGTTGCAACCAACAGACTCTGTGATCCTCTGCTTCATTGTGGCACTTCTCTTGAGTCACTACTCCATGGCATATTTAATTGTTTAATCCCTGGTTTGGGTCGACCATTTTCTGTTTTAACAATGAGGATATTTCAGATACAGAATGAATCTAAATTTCATGGTGCTTATTAAAGGGAATGTGCCAGCCAGTGAAATCCAAGCTTCACCAATCTCCTCTACACCCAGAGCTTCACCCAGTGATTAAATTGTTTTGCTCTTCTGAAACAAAGAGGGAAGATGTTTTCACTTCAATCCCCTTGGGGACCATAATGCATTTCTGAGTTGCGCGGAGAGACTATGACGTGATTTGGGGTCACAGATTTCTCAGGATACACAACTCTGAAAGCTGAAAACCACTTAGGATGCATTTCATTTCACAATGTCACCCTTTTTTTATCTCTTCTCCTTGCTTCACTTTTTGTGTCTATTGAATAATGCCCTAGTCTTCCAGTGAAGACATCCATTACGGAGTCGATTTGCCAAAAGGTGTTGTTAAAAACCAATATCACTGAAATGTCTGCATCATGCAAAGTCTCATTTGTTAACCTGTCAAAAGCCTCGATGACGGGTTTTCAAAGGCGAGTTGAGAGGTTATGGTAAATACATTTTCCAATCTATAACCACAGTGCCAAAGCAATCAATCTAACAGGCTGAACAAACATATCAACACTGTGAGAAGATTGTTTAAAAAAGGAGCCTGCTTTTACATTTGACTAAACCCAAGAAAAGCCTGACGGTAAACCAGCAGATCACATCTTGATTTTTTTTCCCCCCAAATCAAAAAATGGCCTGGCTCAAGTTCTTTCCCAGCTCCCGTAAAACTTAGTCATCGGCTTTTCATTGGGATTACCATTGGCCAAGACAGTGCCTGGCCAGGCCCTGAGCAGTGCCCAGGAAAAACACTTGACATGATTGAAAAAGCAGAGAGCAGCCAGAACATCCCCACAAGTCAGACTGCACAGACATAGAGGACTTATCAGCTTCGCCATCTCGTCTAGGATGTGAAGAACTGCATGTGACGTGTAACGCAAATTTGATTACAGGGTGAAAGGTCAAATAAGTCTCAGTTCACAGCAAAGGATAAATGTGGAAAAACAAATCTGTCTACAACCAACAACTCCAGAGCAGAATGATGAGTGCAGCTCTCCTCTACTCCAATCTTTCTCTCGCCTTAACCTTTTGCTCATAACTCTCATCTAATCCCCACAGGAAGAGACTGGGAGCACACGACTCTTGACCCCAAGCGAGGACACCGTTTGATGAACGACCATGAAAGGTCAGACCTCTGATTGGTATTCAACCCCCTCCATCTGAGAGCGCTGAACCAAAACCCCACATTTCTGTCCCCCAGAGTGTAAATTACCAGCGTGACGTTGATAGATACACAGCATTGGCAGATACTGAACTTTCACTGAGGGGATGGAGTGCAAGCGTAGGCTGAAGCGGGCAGGGCAGTGCGGCGGGTAATCTGTCACCTAAGGGCTTTTTGACAACCGCGCAGTGTCACGGTCACATGTTCGGATGAGGCTGATGGATGAATAACCACTGGCCGCTTCACGGGGACACTTGGTGAGGTGTGATGTAACTGGAGACGGCATACAAAGCTCATTCCTCCCAGCACTCTATGTTTCTCCACTACATCTCCTCCTCCTTCACCTCCACACACACTCGATCTTGCTCACACACAACACACAGAGGGATCACCGATGGTGCTGAAAAGTAAAGTGTGGGGGGGGGGCTCTTTGACCTTTAAGTGTCTGGAGATGCTTACCAGACTGAATTGTGGATGAGAGGGAGGCGACCTGTTCACTGTCTGTTCATTCTTTTAATCTACAGAAAAATTTACCACATACCTAGCATATCAGTAGTTTTTACTCTGTGATTTAATACTTGATAACGGAAGACCAATTAATACCAGTTTTGACAGAGCCAAAACCCCTTATGCCCATATACAGTACTTTAAAGTCAATGAAGAACTACCTGTCTAGCTCCTCTTTTCAAAAGGGGAACAGCTGTGGTGATGTAAGGCAGATATATGATATATATATATATATATATATATATATCATATATCTCAACAGCCTATTTTTCTATACTTGTAAGACAAAGCACAATGAAGCATCATCTAATCCTCTAATCTCCAAGAGTCAGAACATTTGGAATATTTCACACAAAAATCAGAAAAAAAGAAATATAATTTTATGTCATATTATTATTTTGAATGCAAGAATATTAAAGTTTAGTAGTAGTAAAGTTAAAGCAGTTTCTCCAATGTGGGTTCTATCATTGCAAACTGATTATCTTTGGCTTTTGGACTGTTGGTCTGACGAAAGTAGAGTTTGTAGAAACCAGGGTGGACATTTTTCACTGTTTTCTAACATTCTATCAACAACAATTAATGCTTATTTGATTAAGTGATAAAATAATCAGATAGATAACTGGATAATGACCATACTTTTAGTTGTACATTCTTCTCTTTTACCCTTTAGTCATCTTGTGATCGCCTCAGATTTCTCTTGGGACCCCTCAGATGGTCCCAACCCACTGGCCCTTATGAATCTTACTGATATACATTATATTCACAGTAGCATATCTTAGTAACTCAACTGTATTTTTTTTTTCCTTATGATGATCAATACTTCCCACAGGACCATCACTGTCCTTCAGAGCAGCAGAGGTTTTCTCTAAATGCCCCTCCACAGCATGATGGTGCGTTCACATGTTTATTCAGCAGTTTGCAAAATTAAACTCCTCATCTAAATGAGCTGGATTCCCCTCAGGCCAGGGCATTGTTATAGCAGGCAAGAGTGCTTCATCAACACAAAGAGCATCTGAGGCACATCATGTGCGCAGCAGGCTAAGGGACCCTGGCTGCTCTCAGTTCACAACATGTTGAACTTCACCTCTTTTGCTGTTAGGCACCATAGCAATGAACCATGTGCTGATGTGGACATGCTTTAACTATGCCAGTAAAATAAAATATGGATTCTCTGCGAGCTTTGCAAAAATCTTAAGCATGTGAATGAATATGGGCAATGCAGGATACAAGATATTGAAATGTCGAGTAAAAGCAACGTGAAGTCAATGAGCTGCAAAAGAGCAGTGCAAGTTACAGGACTACACCACTGCTGGCATATTTTGGTTCTATTACTACACTTTCACCCTCCAGCTCTCCCCTGCACTCCCCTTCTCTCCCCCCGTCTCTGTGCCTTTCACTACAGCCTACAAATAAGCAGTGATTTATTACCGGCTACGGACAAAAGCACATGCAAACAAGCGGCCAGGCACAACGTCCCGTCCCCCTCCGCTTCCGTGCGGAGGTAACAAGGAGATGACAAGTGGAGGAGCGGGTGGTGGTGGTGGTGGTGGTGTTGGCAGCAGCACTGCCGGGCTCTGTGGGCGAAACCTACCTGTCATCGTAGCAGAAATCAGCGTCCAGCGTGTTCAGATAGAGACCCACTGCCACGGCGGTGCACACCAGCTCCGTGATCATCTCTCAAAAGCAAAGTGGGAGAGGAGCTGGGATAGAAATGACTGGAATCAGGTCCCCTCCTCTCTCTCTCTCTCTTTCTCTCTCTCTCAAGTCTCTATGTTATTGTGTTCTCAATTCAGCCGCTCGGCAGCGCAGCTTTCCAGACAACGCGAGGCATTTCCCATGTCATGCAAAGTGTGTCAAAGTTTGCCATGTTCCCTCTAACCCATTGTGTTGAGGGACGGGTCAGGGGTGTTGGGACGTGGAGCTAACGCCGGCTCAGGCTCGGAGCTGTGCGCATTTCTGTGCTGCGGTGTCCTCAGTGTGCGCATCTCTCTGCCTTGGCACCGGAGAGAGCAGAGTGGCGAGACGCATGTGGTTTTCAGGGAGGCGGAGCATGCGCACTGGGCGCTGCACTGGAGAGCAAGGTGGAGAGAGTTGGAAGTAAGTAATACTGCTTTCATGCTTACTGATAGGAGCGGAAATGAGGACTGATTGTGAACAGGAAGTCAGGTATAACTTAATGTTTTATTTTTGATATAACAGCAACAGAAGTGATTTACATAAAAGAAAACCACTGTCTGTGCACAGTAATGGTTGCATAGTGACTTTTATGAGTGTATGTTATTGTATAGAATATAAATACAGTCACTTAAATGCGCCTTAGGCAATAATGAATTTATAATCACCTTTGAAGTTTTAGTTAGTTTGAAGTTAGTTTCGAGTTTTATTCATTCACACAAAATCAAAGAAATGACAGAAAATAACAGCTGGAAGTGTTCAGACAGAGGAACAAAGCCCAACCAAAATAATATCAAATAATATGCAAAATGTCAAAATATGTCGAGTATGCTGTTCAAATAAATATAAAACATTTGTCGACGTCTTTTTTAAAACATGTTCTGTAGTACTTCAGGGAAGATGGAATTTTAACCAAATGAGAAAGAGGAGTTTCATAGGCAAGGACCTTTATGTTGCAACAGTTAATCAACAGTTAAATTAATTAGTGTGAAAATGAGATATGAAATAATATGTAAAATGTGCCACACACCTCATATATGAAAGCACATATTCATTGATGATATCATAATTTGTGAAATAAAAGAGCTGATGGGTTGAAATTCTGACAAAACATGAACTTTATTGTTCTTCATGAGCTGATATTGGACTGAATTTCAGTTATTGCTATTATCTTAAATGAAATTGAGACTAGATTGTATTTATTTTTCTTTTCTTTTTTTACTGACTTTGATATCTGACGATCTCATATGTTATAGAAATAAATAATATCCACATCTTCCCTGTGTGGAAACCTTTCTGTGATATTGACACAGCATTCTTCTACAGGAAGAGCTAAGCTGAGTTGGTAACTCAAGTTACTCCTGACTGCAGACCATGTAACGTGAGAGAAATCTGGTGCTTGGTATTCAGTTTACACTTCATGCTGAGGAATCAGCTGGTGCTGCAGGTATCACATGATCTCATTCTAACCCCAAATTAAAAAATATTGATTGATTTGCCATACACCAACACACACACACCCCCCTACTGTGTCCATGGAGAGGCCAAACTGAGGGAGTGGATGTGATTGATGAACTGCCGTACCTCACCCTATGGCGAGGACGCATATGGGTGTCAGTTCGGAAACATGCAGCCTGGTCCCGCTGACTACCAGCTGGACCGACGCCTGTCCCACAGCCAGGGCTCCGAGAGGATAAATCCAGTGCAGAGCAGCAGGGAAAGAAAAACAGATGGTGGGAGAAGGATGTATGGAGCGTAAAGGCCTCGGCTGCCGATGGGTGAGACAGTGACAGAGCTTTACGGAGCTGAGGTTAGAGAGTCATTTGTTACAGTGACCCTGATTCCGAACAAGACATGACCTTGACCTTGTGGAACCTGTTGGAATATTTAGGAAAGCAGGCGGATGTGTTTTTGTCCCTGAGACTTATGCTGGGGTGCTTCCTCTTCTATAGCATTCATCAGGGTTGAGCGGTAACAAATCAGAGTCTTTGTTTGGGTTGTAAGAAGAAACTCTCTTGACAGTTTATCTGTAAGATGACCTTAAAACGTGGCCGCCTTGTTGTTGCTTTTGTTAGATTATGACACCAAAATGATCACAACATGTACCCAAACAAACGCATACTCACAGCCCACAAGATGAACACCGTGCCCTGGCTCTGCCCCGTGGGGACAAGGGGTGCTCTGTCTTGCAGCAGAACAGCGCAAGTGATTAAAGGATTAGCTCAGGAAAAGCAGGACAAATATTCCCGTAGTATAAACAGGCCCAGGGCAAAACAAACACATTACAAGAGAAGAAGTGTTTACTCCCTCTGACTGATTACCTGCTGCGTCCCCACCATGGAGCAGCGTAATGAATCTGCTGCTTGCTCTTTAGGTGTAAACAGGTAGCAGTCCCAAATAAAAACATCCTTAGTTTTTGGTTTTAGATGCAAGTTTAAATTGCACGTGAAGGGGAAGCCGAGGGCTTTGACGAGATGTGGAGAAATCAGCAGGCCTGCGTGCACTGTTTGCCCTTTTTTTATCGACATGTTTCAAAAATAAAGTCTAAATATTTGTCATATTGGATGAATGTATTTTTCTTTTGTCATTTCCTGTTTGGTTTCTTCTGTTTTAGGAAGTGACAATCATTTATAGAGCTTGTAATTGAAAGCACATGGGTTTTCTCATATAAACCACATTTTGTTTTTCCCATCGACAAAGCTAATGCTTGTGTATTTTACTTGAAATGTGTCCAATCTCTTCTCAGCACAAGAGGCAGAACTGACCAACAGGACTACCTTTAATGACAAAGTATATTTCCATTAACTCATATTAAGAGATTTCCTCTGCCTTTTAAGCCATTCTAAGCGAGTAATGGTAATTTCCTCGTGCTATTTACTCCGGAAACACTGCCTCTTCACCCCAGCAGATAAACATCACACAGGAAACAGATAATCACAGCTGGAAGGACCAGGCCCTGGGTACTGCCTTCACATAAATAGCTCACTGATGGTATTAATATCAACACTGAAGCTCAACAACCTAAAGTCAGGAGCCAAATCAAATCCACCCTGGTTTTATGGAACATCCGCATGGGTGTCACCTCCTGATTCTGCCCAGGAAGATCAGAAATATAAATCTGTGTGGAAAAAGATTTGGGTTTGGCGCTCTACTAAGATGGATAAGATAATGAGTGTTTGTTATTTTACATTCGCTGTTCAACCACACTAATGATGAACTGTCAAGTGGTGTGAATGGGGGTTAAAAGGGTCAGTGGATTAAACTGTTTGAGAGAAGAAAACAGAACAAACTGTGAAAATTAAATCAAACCAAAAAGAGATGAAATAAAACACAATGTAAGATACGAATTAAAACGCCTGGATGCATAAAGTGCAGCAGCTCATGACACTATGTATAATAAATTTGATGTGTCTGAAGTTTCCCCTGTAGAGGAGGCAATAAATGCAGAGAGATACTAAACTTGACTGGTGAAATTACCTCAGAGGCTTTTCTACTGAAACTATATGCTTCCTCATTTAGAACCAACAATGAAATAAATCCAGTTTATACAACTAAAAGCATTTTCTTACACCAAGGAACCCAGCGAGGCTTATTCTACACCAAGATTCATATAAATTCACAATCTGAGTGATGTTCCATTTCAGTTTCCCTCCGTCACATCCATTAAACTCAGTTTGTACCATCATGCTGTGACAGGAAATGTGCCTTACAGTATGTTTGGACTGTATGAGTCTTAATGACCCTTAAATCACAGCTCACTGAAGATAATCTACAGACTCTGGATTTATATTCTTCCAACAGGTTATCAGATTTAGCTATCTGTCGCACCATGTCAGTTTAATGACCAACACAAAGCAAGTTCGGTGCTTTAATGACACAGAAATAAAGAGAAATAAAGCGTTACATTCGTTTTCTGATAGCGTTAGAAGTTGGAGTTGTACTTTCTATGAGCCACACATAACAATGTTTCTAGTTTACTCTGGCTGTTTCCTATGACTTGTCAGATGTTTTAGATTTGATATTAATCTGGATAACATTACAGGAGAATGGGCAAGATTAATGGAAAATATGAATCAGAGGGACAAGCCTTGTTCTTCAAAATACATGATGATGTTTCGCATTGAAAGCAGCGGTTGTCCATTCTCAGTCGAGCGCTTCCCCCACAGGGTGACATTGCTTGAGGCTCAGACTCACATATTTTTCTGCACGTGACTTGACGTAGCTGTTTACACCTCCCACCCTGACAGGTGTAAAAAAAAAGGCATTTTTGTCCACGTCCCACTTCAGAGAGTAAATCTGCGGTGACTCGAGGTGATAAGAGTGATTTTTTTTGTTTTTTGTCTTTAATCTAAAACAAGCAGTGTGTGCTCAACGTGACGTGACGTCCAGCCAGATCCCCTCTTTCTCACAAGCAGGGCATCTGGCAGAGAAATGGCACACTGTTCATGGGCATGATGGCAGCAGCCAGGGCGCCCTTCTCTCCGATGGCGGTCTGCCCACCCCTCCTTACCCCCCCAAGAAAAACAAAAAAAAAAAAACATTCGACTTTGTGCTTGGGACAACATGATGATTATGCTCAGATGGAAGACATTAGGATGGAGGTAGAGGTAAAGGTTTGTTTGTAGAGTGTGTGTGAATGTGATGCTGTAACAGACCTTTAAAAGGCTTTTTCACCTCCCTGCTTCCTGACATTCAACAAATGATCACTTAAACCAGCCCGTGTCTTTCTCCAGCTCCTCTCCCTCATTTTCAAGCTGTTCAACCTCATTGACGCTGGAGAAAGCCTGCCACTTCCCTTCCAAATTTTACCCTTTGATTATGTCGGAGGGGATCATTGAGAGCCAGTTTCCCCATTCACATGAAAGGCCATTCTTTCAGTCCAACACATCACATTCACCAGCAGTGAACTCATTACGCAGACGTTATTGGATGAAGTTTAAATGTACCCCCCCCCCCCCCTTCCTGTTTGTGAAGCTGAGATGATTTTTCACATTTAGGAGGGTAAGCAGGAACTTGTCTCATGTCCAAACACCACCGTGAGAAACAGTGATCGCAGCTATGGGGCCCGAGCGTTTGACGTACTCTCCTCGCTTCCCTCCGCTGCGTCTCATTCCTACCTTGCAATGAAAAGTCATCTGAGGTGGGAATGCCTCGCATGATTCCCCACACAGACTATTTCTGTCTCCCAGCATTCATCACATCCTGCAAAACCTTTTTCCTGCCGTCTGTTAAGTGCAAAGTCAGGAAACTGTAGTTTACCTACTGCATTGCTTGGACTGCTTTTTGCTGATTTCTTTCCTGAGTGCGAGTCTGAGTTTGCGTGTTTGTTTGTGTGTGCTGAAAGCAGGCCTTTTATCATGTCATTTTCCCTTGTCCTTCTTCATGTGGGCACATGAAAGACACCGTGCCAGGGTGTGTTTATATACACATACATGCACGCAAAACATGCGTGCAGGCATCAAGAACAGGACGGGTCGGCGGGATGTGACTCACTCAGCCACAACAAAACCCAGTAACATTTATATCCCCCAAAACAAGCTTCAGTCGCATCTTGAACCGGTTGCATTCGTGTCAGTCCGGTTTGGCCACTGCAGTAAGATGTCAGTGCAAAACACGGTGCCGGATCCAAACAGGGTCCAGACACAGCAGAGAGCGTCACCATCTGTCTTTAGCGGGATAAAAATAAAGCCCCGGGACACGGTTTCACCAAGTTGACGTTGACAGCTCTATGGATGGCCTACAGATGTGCAAGCTGCTGCAGTAACAAATAGAAACGGTAGAAGAGGAGATAGCAGGAAGCGCCTTGCACCAGTGTAACATATTCCCTCTGTTTCATTTTTAGTTCCAACACAGTCTCAATAATTTTGTAGCGTGTTTGTTCCTGCGGAGCTCTAATCAGAACTGTTCACACGCACAGCTGCAGTGACTATTACCGACTCAGTGGCAGGTACATTTGGACACATACGTCACAACATGACAGAATTCATGCTCATTATGAAAGAGAGAACCCAACGGTTTTTTTTATCAGGCATATCAACGCAGCCAGATTGCCGCCATCACGCCTCATCATGTTCTAAATGTTCACTTGAACAGATTTTAAACTGAATATTATTTCAAAGTTGATATCGGAAAATATAAAAGCTATTTCAGCAGTTTACTTTTGGTTCATTATTTCAACCATTTATCCATTGCTTCTAGCTAGTTAGACATTCATCCATTACTTTAAATAAACTATTTCAGACATTAATCTTTAAGTTTTAGCCAGCTATGTCTAGTCATCCATTATTCATTTCTGTTGGCTATAATTTATCTTCTACTTTAGCTGGCTTTGCTTTTCTATTTCAACTTCAACTTTTTATCTGTTTGGCTGCTTTTGGCTAACAATTTCATTTTCTTTTTTTTTTTTTAAATAACCTTATCTTTCTACATCCCCCCCCCCCAACAGTTAAAAAAACAAACTTACTGAAACACAATTTAACAATATTGGTCCAAGAAATGCTGCATTCACCACCTCGTGTCTGCTTTCTATCAGTTTGAGTGTAATTCCCACAACGATATGACTAATGTGTGAACTCAAAACTCTAACATTTGTTTTGAAACATATAAAAAGAGCATGATTTATTAAATGACCAAAGACAGAGCAGAGCAGAAGTCAAGATTAAAAAGGGGGATCAAGGGTGTTTCTTGCCTTGTCCCCCAAGCCCCCCACACCCCCATCCGCCCCCCCCCCCCAACTGCCTCTGGCGTGGGAGCCTGGGAGCAATGGGGTTTCCAGACCTGTCAACAGGGTTGATCCCACAATGCCCCAGCATCCCTGGATGGTCCTTAAAAACAAGTGTTTTCTCAAGAGTCGCTCAAACACAAAGACAAAAGGCTGAGATGGATATAATTCAATCAAACGCAGCGGACAGTTTTTCCAGGTGTGTGAACCATGTGTTTTCATGAGTCGTCCTCCGAGCAGACCACAAGGTCAAGGACTGAGCACCGAAAAACATTTCAGATTTGTTTTTCACCAAAATCGCATAAAACAAAGCAAGATGTTAGTGAAAGTGATACAGAGACCACATAAATAAATCACACAATTTAGATGAAATCATACATATGATTAAACAAGCAGGAAATAATACAAACATAATACAACCACGTTTAAAGTATAACTTCTGATCGTGTGTCATCATCACCTCCGCAGTGAGCGCATGTATAAGTTCATCAGCTTGTAACTCTGTTCCCGTACCTCTTCAGTCCGACGACAGCGTAGCATCTCGGCGACAGCAGAGGATCAAAGAGTTGCACCAGTGCAGAGAGAGAGACGTCGTCCTGCAGAGACACACGGAGACACACGGAGACACACACCCATAAAACAAAGAGACACAATAGAACTGAATAAAAAACACATGCACATAAAAAAATAAATAAAATAAAAAATCTTGCTTCTCCTCCCAGTTTGGCTTTGTGACCCTTTGGCATCCTTTGCTGTATGATGTTCTTGCTAAAACAGATTTCTCTACTGAATCCCCCGGAGAAGAAACATCTGTACAAATATTGAGTCAGGTGGACTCCCGTTCATGCGTAAAACAAGTTTGTCTTCCTTGATGGCGTGATGCTTAGTCGAAGATCTACAGCCACGCTACCGGCTCTGTACAGCTTGTGCTTCTGCTGCGCTCATACAATGTCATCATGATGGGAAGAATAGGAAACACTGTTATTCTGCATTATTCCAAGACGGTTACCCCACTGCTCGCCTTGTCGTCACACCATTTAAATAGATTATGTTCTATACTTTTGCTTTGGAGGGGGTCTTTAACAAGTGAAAACAGACACAAACAGTGTATAGTTGCATGTAAATCAATTCAATTGTATTAGTGTTAATATTAAACTGTATTTAGATGCCATTTCTTTTCACCAAGTGGGAGATATCGCCACCGTCAGAACAGATATCTGACTCAAAATTACATGTCAAAGTACAGCTGAGGCTGATGGGAATGTCATAAGTTTTGCAGTTTTGAACTTAAACAACCGGATGTGTGTGTGTGTGTGTGTGTGTGTGTGTGTGTGTGTGTGTGTGTGTGTATGTGCGCTTATATCGGTCAGCACACTTATCATCACATGGATCACATTCACATGCATCAACCACCTCCTCTTTTTCCTCCTCGAGGGAGATCTCTCAAAGACGACCAGCGCTCTTGACGTTGTGTATACTCTGATTGCACGACCCTATTAAGGAAGTCCATCTGACACACAATCTCACATGTAATCAGAACTTCAAAGCCACCGGTGCGTACGTATCTCATCACAGTGACTCAGACCAAAAAATTAGCATGTTGTGCTTGGCTGCAGAGGCAGAAGACGTTAAACTGCGGGCTGGCTTCAATTTAGCCGACACCTATATTATTGTCAATGATTTGAATCAAAACAAGGTTTCCTGATTTCAGCTGAGATTTACACGTGTTCGCTTTCATCATCTGGGATGCAAGACTTCAAATCCCAAACAACAATCTGTCCAAGCAAATCACGGAGACGAGTCCAGCTGACAGAGGAGAGTAAGCGAGCCCTGTGTGCCATATGGCTGCTGGGTGACGGAGTTATGACAGCATGAGTCGCTTCACTGAAAACAGTGAAGCGAGTGCCGACTCGTTTTCAGAGTGGGGTTGAGAGTTTCATTTTTTCCATTACAGTCAAAGTATCTTTTTAAGCAATGATGAAAGTTTGGAATATGTATTTTATTTATTTCCAAAAGATGTTCAAACAAACAAAAATCACATTACTTCAATGCATTTCCACTAATTGCTCAGTTACTAAATTTTAGTGCAAGTAGACAAAACAAACTTTCCCTTTTTTGTTTTTCCATGTTCATTCATATTTTTCCTTTACACATAATACAATAATAACTAAAACTAGTACCTTATATTTTAGTTTCACTGAAATAAGTAGAACACAACAATAGCTTTAATTCTATTTTTTATTATTCCACATGCAGGGTAGATTTTATTTCATTTTAAGTCAGTTTACAGACTTTTATGAAATAAACCTGAAAAAATCTTTAGGCCAATATGTGTGATGAGATGATGAGATGATGAAGATCATATATGATATGATCAAAAGCTCCACAACATCTAAATGAACCTTGTGATAAGACTGTGTTTATCAAAATATTGATGATTGATTATTTATTTCCACTAACTTTTCATAGTTAGTTTTTTTTAAAGCAGCCAAACTAGCTTTCACATTTTTTTCTCATATAAATAATGAACAAAAAGCAAAAACTAGAAGCAGTTCACCTCCTTTTTACTTTTTTTGATATTCTTAATAAAAAAAAAAAAAAAGTTTTGATTTATAATTGCAAGTCAGTTTTAAATGATAACTGTGTTTTCCTATTTAAAACTTGCCACGTTTCTATCATCCGCATGCAAACAGCACCATGTGGCTGCGGAGCCAAATAGTAGTTTATGCCACCACCGATGTTTAATGTCAGACGTTCCATAAACTTCCCACGTAGACACGGCCACAACATAACAACTCAGTGATCCGTGTAAACACATTTGTTTTTTTCCCCTGGCATTCCCCCCCCCGCCTCGATGAAATGATTTTACCTGTTCTTTCAGATAGCACAGGCGGTCCAGGAGAATCAGACCTTCGATACAGGGGGCCAGGGTCACCTTCAACTACACAAACAGGAAAGATTTATTTGTCTTAACGAAATAAATATTCATTCGTATCAATGTTTTTTCACAGTAACAACCGACCTGGTACAAAATGGCACTTTTCCTGTAAGTTGTTCCTTTCAGCTTTCTCCCAGTACTAAGACCACATACCAAAAAACCCACCATGACTAGTGTCTTCTCAGTGACTGGCGAGCAAGAAACCATTCCACTGTTTTATGTCTTGAAGGAAAATTGGTCTGTTGGTTGACACCACAATTAGCGGCCAGAGCTGAAACCAGAGGCTGCTTTTCTTCCTCTTCTGTACAGCCATTCCTGCGTTTCTTTCCCCCCGCAGACTGCAATGACCTCACTTAATGGTCTGCAATTTATTGGCATTATACATCTCATTTTACAGGGTTGAAAATGTTTTACACAAAGCAGAGTTGAAACAGGTTGTTGTGGTGTAACGATATGTTAAGTATAGGATTAAGGATTTAAAGTCTTCTTTCATTTGTGAGAAGATAAAGAAAGAACTCACCATGTTGAAGGCGCGCATCTCGCCCATTCGTGTTCTGTATGTGTCACGGTAACCCTGGATGTCGTCATCGGAGAGCTGAGGAAAAAAAAAAAAAAAGGAAAGGTGTCATCCTTGTTGAAAAGGAGGGCGCTTGGTGTGAAGAGGAGTGTCTGGAAACATCCTGGGTACCGAGCACCTGTTTCATTTATCAACCCCACATGAATTTGGAGATTTTCTAAATAAACACTAGGGAGGAAACATTTTCCCTCTCATCGGACAGAAATAATGAGCATTTTTCAGAGCACTTCCCACAGTTTGTTTCTGGAAGGTGTTGTAAGACGACTGGCCCTGACCTTTGATTCATCCAGTTCCAGCCTGCGTAGAGCTCGACGAACGTAGTCCACAAACGATTTAGCCTTGGAGTACACGTTCCCAACTCGCTTCTCACTGTGGAGCAAACACACGTACATATATATCATTTCTCAGGCCTTGAACGTCTCATTTCTGCCTGATGAGATAAACAACATTCGCTCTTTTAGTCTCATGCGTGTCGCCTGTTTTTGTTTTGTTTTTTGTTTTAAATCAAGCCTTAGCAACCAGAAGCAAACCATTAAACACTTGTAAAGGACTAAACGGTGATGAATAGGTGCTGCTTGGAGAAAACTAATGAATATTCGATCCTGATCTGATGTTAGCCATTAAACTGAAGGTCACAGAGCAGTGACCAGCGGTGCTCAGTGTCTGTTAGGAGCCTTTGATCGTGTCTGCACCGAGCACATCTGATAAGGGCTAATTGAAATCTGTAGCATTTCTTTCTTTCGTTTGTTCGGATGAGGAGAGCGATGACCATCCTCCGCCAAAGAGCCTGAAAGTCTTCAGTCATTAGAAATGCAAAATAACAAACGACCCCAGAAGTGAAGGTTTTATGGGTGTAAAAGCAGCAGGTTTAAACTTTTGAGAGCCAGCAGTTGCTCATGTTTGGAAAGCATCACATAGCAAGTGAACCAAGGCCAAACTGCAGTCTGACTGATGCTGTATTCCGCCTTTTCCTCTGGTTTTTAACTTGTACTGCACAAGAAGAAAATGTTCAGTTATATAAAAGCAAAGACAAGTCCAGTAGGGCTGCCTGCAACTACTGATTATCTTCATTATGAATGTATGTATTGATTTTGTTTTTTTTTTTTTAAAGCTTTGTCTATAAAATACCAGATGAATACCAGTGATAAATGTTCAACAGAATTTGCCAAAGCCCAACGTAACAACTTCAACTTGCATGTTTTTTTTTTTTGCGTCCAACAGCCATAACCCAAAGATATTCAAGATCAATATTCAATTTAGAATCATACAAAAAATGGCCACATTTGAGAAGCTAAAACCAGCATTTTTTTTTTTTCACCTGTCTTGCTCTAGGAATGGCTGTGTCCATCTGTCGGTCCACAGACAGAAATATCTCAACGACTGCTGGATGGGTTGCCATGACATTTCGTGCAGACATTCATGGTCCCCAGAGGATGAATCCTACTGACTTTGGTGATCCCCTGCCCTTTCCCCTAGCGCCAGCATGAGGATGACATTTGGCATTTTGAGTGAAATGTCTCGACAACAATTGGATGGATTGACATCAAATCTGACATCAATCAAACGTTCCCCAGAAGATGAATGGTAATAATACTGATCCCTTCAGCTTTTATCTTCCACCATCACCCTCGGATAAAATTTTCAGTTTGTTCAATACTCTGGTTGTTAGCATGCTAACACGCCATAACGGTGCGCATGATAAATCTGTGAAAAGCTGCGACAATGCTTGCAGTGACCCTGTTAGCGCTAGTCTTGACTTAAATGACTGATTATCACAATTCTCGTCAATTAATTTTCTGTACAAGAACTCATTTCAGCTCTCAAGCCTATAATGCATATGACTTTTGTTGCAGGTCTTGGTTCATTTGTAACCCAAATAAACCAGGAACAAAAACATTTCCGTTCTGGTTCAGAACAAAGAGAAACAAACAGTGAGTGAGATTTCACCCTTTAGATTCCTACTGTTCTGTTCTACCTCATTCCCACAGAAGACACTTGTTACTGTGTGTGGACACTGGGACATACCGTGTAATTCACATTTTGAAACACACAGTGATGGAGCTAAATGTCATGAATAATTGAATGTGGGCTGTAATTTCTCAGAGTGGAGTAATTCCAGATGTTAATGCCTGCATATTACCTTTTATAGGAGCTGTAGTGGTCCCTCAGAATCACATGAAGGACTGCGCGGTAGAACAGAGACTCCATCTGAATCTATAGAAAAGGTCAAAGATAACTTGATTCAGCATAATGCAAGTTATTGCATCTTTCACATGAAATCTTTGCTATTCCTTTGTGGCCCTTCCAGCATGTGTACGAACACTTGATGAATATTTCTGACACTTTCCAAGCCTGATGCAACGCAAGCAGGCAATCAAGCCTGTTTTTGGATTCAGACGCCAGTTCCAAAAAAGTAATCAATCTTTCCGTGATTGCATTAATATTTATAAACATTCCATATTAATGGCTGCTGGTATCGTGTATCAGCTTTGGCCTGGAGCTCTGCGTTCTACATTTCAAATAAATACACTGTGAGTCAATCACGGACTAAAAACAAAAGCAGAATTAACGAGCTGATTGTTTGAATGCATGCAGGAGATCTACGGTGAAGATAAAACAGTCTGGGGTGATTGTGAGCACCCATGTTTGTGGTTTGAAGGAATTTGATGGATTTGTTTTGATGGGCGCGAAGTAATGACAGTGTAGAGAAAAACGTTTAACTCCCATTCTTGTGCAATGATGACTATTGGTTTATTATAGTGATTACAGTGAGTCTGCAGGCCCCCTACTTACCCCCTGGCCGAGTGAGACTCTCTCCAGCGCCTGTTTTTGTTAGAAGAACAGTAAAGCGTTAAAGATGAGTAAAAACTGAGCTGTTGCTGAAGTTGCAAAAAAAAAAAAGGCCACTGCAGTCTAAACACCACATGTTTATGTCAGAAAGATGCTGCTGTGCACATTTTTTTTTTTTTTGTGGTGTCACCCAAACTTACCAAACACGCAGACATCCTGGCGTTTCTGCCGCAGAACCAGGACTGGTCGCGGAGGTACTGACTCAGTGGGAAACCACACACGCCGTGTGAACACTCTGCGAAGAAACGCACACAGATAATAGGAGCGCAGTGATGTATCAGTTTGGTTGAGTAATGCTTTCTTTCTTTTTTCACACAGCTGCAGTCAGTGGATATAAATTTTAAATATTTACTGGGGAATGTTGAAGTTACTTTGATTTATAAAGACATTGATAAAATATTCCATCTGTTCATCTTTATCTTCTAAACTTGACTGACGTGACTGGAATGACTAAATAATTTACCGGCTGTTCGTGTGTTCAGCGTCAGAAGGATTGTTTGACATTATAGGAAATACGCTTGTTTGCTTTCTCGCCTAGAGTTGGATGAGAAGATCAACACCACTCTCGCATCTGTCCATTAAATCTGAAACTACAGCCAGTTAGCTGTTAGCTCAGCATAAGGACAGAAATTGTCCAGAATCTCTTTTGCCTGTTCGCAGTGGATTCCTAGCTAGCTTAGCAATAACATTCATTGTTATTGGTTTTTGTATGGTTCAGACAAACAAGTTTATAGCATCTGTTTCCCCCTGTTCCGAGTTGTTATTCTAATCTAAGAATAAGTCTAAATCTCAGCAATAAAGGAAATAAATATATTAGACTCTAAGCAGAGGAATTGAGAAAAAACAACTTCCCTCTTAAATATTTTGCCTTAAAAAGTCAGAACTGCTGACCTCTGATTGCTGCTGAAAACACCAACATCAATCACATATTTCTTACTGTAGCAGTTCTTTGCATGCGCGCGCACACACACACACACACACACACACACACACACACACACACACACACACACACACACACACACACACACACACACAAAGACAGATTCCCAGTGGGAGGGTACTGAGTGTGACTACTTGACAGCCTGCCATCCTTTTCATGTCACTTCTAAAAGGGTCAGTGACTGAGGCCAAGGCGCAGTGAATCCAGAGGGATACGGTCAAAAGAAGCACTAATAACATGTGCAGCTGGGGCCGGTCGGGCTCTCGCAAAACTGCTCTGGACACGCTAACACGTTAGCAGTCAGGTTAGCTTCCCCTCCGCCCAGGCACGGGCCATCGGGCAGGCGATTGAAGTGGACAAGTCTTTCCTCGGTCTGACGGGTGGATTACAGTGTGCACGCAGAGCTGTTTATAGTCTCTAGCTTCATGTTGACCACAGAGTTGACATCTGAAGTGGCCGTGTACATGCACTGCAATTCAGAAAGACAAATATTTCTGATGTCCTTGTGCGCAAGTGGACACGTACACTTGAATACACGCTGGTTCCCAGACCTCAGACGCCAGAATATACTCACCTCTGAGAAGTTGTTTTTCTTTGTGAGTAAATAGCAGGAGATTGGAAACCTAATGTACAAGAAATTTAAGGAATTGCTTAATTCCTAAATAAGTAGATCATATAAATGTATCACTGCCTTCTATAATGGAACTTTTCAGCTATTTAGCTCCATTCTAGGGTGAGGCAGGCCACCACCGGAGCTGGCCTGCATCCCAGACTGCACTGTAAGGCCAACAGGGGGAGAGAAAATGTGTGTGTGTGTGTGTGTGTGTGTGTGTGTGTGTGTGTGTATGCCTTTGTTCCCTTCCTTAAAAGACGGAGCTGGAGTTTGAGAAACAAGCATGGAAAGGAGTGTTTTCAATCAGCCATCGTGATATCATTTTCCGCTCTTGGCTGAAGCTACGTCGGACCTGATGATGCGAGAGTCGAAGGTCACGCTGTTAACAAGAGATGACGCGATTCCGTATCAACTTCAGCGAGGGATCCTTCGTATAGATGCGAAGAGGCTCCAGTCACAGCATGCGGACACATGTAGACGATTTCATACCTCATAAACTGTGGAGTGAATGGGGATGAAACGGGGATGATATCAGTCCGTTGTCCTGCATTCTGGGACCTGAGCTAACCGTCAAGTTGAGGCGGCAGCAGAGAACGGCAGTGCGGAAGCCAACGCTAACTAAAATAACAGCAAAGATGAAATACTACACACTAGATGCAGATTCAGTCTCTTCCAATTGATTCTCTTCTAAATTGAAAGGTCAAAAAAAAATCTCATTTTCAGCGGCCTTACACAGCCATTCTAAATCCATAAATCCACTCTAATGGCTCTAACAGCGGGTTACTGAAGTCAACTCAATCTCCAGAGGGGTAGCTTGGCTGCGTCTCCAGACTCCAGACGGAACATCTGACTTGTTTACTATAAAATATGAATATGAGTGTTAATGTGGGAAGATGAGATTTCATTTCAGGTTGGAACAAAGCGATGACTTGGACGATGCAGGTGTCTGAGGTGTGAGTGAAAAACAAGGAGAGAGATAGAAATAGAAAGAAAGACTGTGATCTTTGTGTAGAACAGAAACCATATGTGCTCTGTGTGTGTGTGTGTGTGTGTGTGTGTGTGAGGACTCACGGCTTTACGACACACAGAGAGACAGACAGAAAGCACACTAATCCGTATCTGATTGTTTTACTGTCTGTGTGTGTGTGTGTGTTAGTGTGTGTGTGTGTGTGTGTGTGTGTGTGTGTGTGTGTGTGTGTGTGTGTGTACCCTGTTGGGCATGGTCAAACTCCTCAGACAGCAGGTGATAGCAGCAGCCCACGCTGCAGACTGCAGCCAGCTCCGGTTTAGCCACAAACATCCTCAGGGTGCTGGGAGCCAAGTCGCCACACGTGTGCAGGCCGACCATGACAGCATCCTGGAGTCGGGAGAAAGTATGCAGAGAGCAGGAGAAGAAGAGGAGGAGGAGGGGTTTGGAGATCGATGGTGAAATTTATTGATGATGACGCCCTGCACATTTGGCACCGCACTCACATCCCACACTCGCCCCAGTAATGCAAACTCCAGCCCACTGCGACAGACGTGTAATTTTAGGAGCCGCTGTGGGAATCGTGCTTCGCTACTATGCGGCTGGACTCCTATCTGCACCACCACCGCACACGCAGTAAATCTATTTTCAACATTTACTTTTGGCTTTTTTTTTTGTGTGTGTGTGTGTGACTTTTGGATCTGCTCACCTCCAGCTCACTGATGAGCTCTCGCAGCTCCGTTTCCGCAGTAACGTAAGATGTGAGGGGTGAAAACACGACGCTGGCGCTGTGAGTTCTGTTCAGAGCCTTCCTCTCCAGGTTCTCCCTTTTCCTCCTCTCCTTCTCCTCAGCGCTCAGCTGGCTGGGGGGAATTCTGGGGGGTGTAGTCTGTATCACATCCACTGATAGGGCGCTAAGGAAGTGCTCCTCTGTTTCTGGATTTGCCTCCGAATGCCTTTCAACTGTGGGGCTGACATCTGATAACACAGTTGACACCTTCTCCTCTTCCTGTGTCACAATTCCTCCCCCAGCACATAAGACATCACTGTCTCCATTCGGTCCAGACTTTATTTCTACTAGCTCCTCCTGAGGTGAATGTGTTGCCTCTCCCTGTGCCCTCTCTGCCTTGGTGTATTTCTGGTACACCCTGGAGAACTTCTTCAGCTTCCTGTTCCTCTCCTGGGCTCCATGGGTGTTGGTGCTGGAGGAATCGATGCCATAGACCCGGAGACCATACTGCAGAGACAGGAAAGAACTGAGGTAGCCTTTCCCCGAGCCCACGTCTATCACCTGGGTAGGAGAGAAAAGATGGAAGGACCAATTAAATCCAAAATCAGGATACAAAAACAAAACTTCCCTCTGTTCACAGAAGCCTTTAAGGCATTCATAGCAACTTAAAAAAATGTTTAACTCTACCTGTTTGACTCCACAGTGCTGGGCCAAACAAGCCACCACCTCAGACATGGACTGGACCTCGTGAGATTTCTTAGAGTTCATGAACTCATCTGGCTCCAGCTCAGCACCTGGGTTACACAGAACATACGTATAACATATTTACTAGTACTGTTCCTTTAAATAAATCCCACATCAATCCTATGACAGCACCCGAGTTATGGTCATAATGTGAGCTGGACAATCCTTGACTGGTTTCCTATTCTCAACATGAAACATTGTGTTCTTACACTGTTCTTTACCCATGTCTGCTGTTGGAGCTCCAGGCTCAGACCTGTTCTCTCTGAGGGCCTGCAGTAGCTCATCCCTGCTCCAGCAGACTCCAAGGCCTGGAAGTGAGTGGGCCTTGGCTGCGTGTAAAAGTTCATGGATATCAACCAGCCGGTTTGTATCACTGCAAAACCCAAATGTGGTCTTGGATTGCTCTGTTTGGGGAGACAGGCAAAGAAATATTAGTAAAATTGCACAAAACTAGCTTTAATTAGTAGAACTTTGTATTTATTTCTATGTATGTGTAAGTAGATATTAAATTGTAATACATCCATTCGAATTTTGAAACCACTGAAAGGCTTTGTTTAAAACCCAATACAAGGAAGGTGAATACAATTTCATTTGTTGTGCTTTCAGCATTGAAAAATGACATTTATAGATTGAAGAGCAACAACACTTTCCAGAAACAATGTTCTGGTTACAGCTGGATAATCCACAGACCTCACTGTAAATGTGTTTTCATTGGAACTACTTTCTCCCAAAAAATGAGTGCCCATGAAAACTGCTGACTGTGTGTTCTCAAAAAAATAAGATCAAATCAAAAAAGATGGCGAATAATGCCAAAACCCATACACTTGGCTTGATACCACTGGAGGTAGAGAATGTTTTTTTCATGTTAGACAATTTTTAAATCAACGCATTAAAAATATTTGACTATGAAAGGAAGAAAATGAATTAATTAGAGCTTTTGGGTTGCAAGAAATATATTTGGCTAGTGTTTAGCACTAGCACAACAATGCACTTACAAATGTTGGTTATCTATTTAAAATTTAATAAGCAGGTACAGTAGGGCTGCAACTAATGATTATTTTCATATTCAATTAACCTGCCAGTTATGTTCTTAAGTAATGAATTAATTGATTGGTCTTTAAAACTTCAAATAAAGGTGAAACATGTCCATCACAATTTCCAAAAGCCAAAAGTGAAGTCAACAAATCAATTGTTTTGTCCAACCAACTTTTCAAACCCCAAAGATATTTCATTTACATTCATATTAAGGCAACAAATCATCTCATTGTGGAAGCTGACACAACCAAATGTTGACTAAGAACATTAATTGATTATCAAAATAGCTTATAATGATTTTTCTTTGCATAAGTTAACCGATCAATTGACGAATCATTGTATCTCTAATCATGAGCAATCGTTGCAGGTAAAGGGGCTTTTTCGCAACCTGGCAACCCAAGAATTGTTCTAATTAAGAGCAATCGTTGCAGGTAAAGGGGCTTTTAACAGCCTGGCAACCAAAAAATTGTTGTAATTAATGTCGTATGAGCATATTTTAAATAATTCATGAACCATTTATTAAAAATATCCTATTGTAAAGTGGTACCAACAAGAGTACTCTCAAAACTTTCCCATATTTAAGGCCAGACTGAATTTGTTCACCTTTTCCTTTGGACTCTGGCTCTCTCTGCTGGTCACCACCGCAGCTAACAGCTGACAGGATTTCCTCCGGTGGCACGGCCACGAACCGTTTCCACACGTCATGAGTGTAAAACTCCACCGTGTGAGCGTTGGCAATGCTCAAAGTTACAGACAGAAACCGCCTGACTTCATCTATCTGTCGCTGAATTTCTGTCAGACTGAATGAGGAGGACAACATGTTAAACAGCTCTCTGAAGCAGACCTGGCTGCAGCATGGAGGAAGTCTTCCGCTGCTGATGTACGCCCAGGCATTAGCAGTCGAACATGCTAATCGATGATTAGGTGGGATTACTGCAAACGATATCCCAACTACTTTTTCTTCTCAGGTAAAAAAAAAAAAAAATCTTTATTCGCCATTTTTTGATTCGTAATCTATCTCCTTCTAGACACTTCAGCAAAGAAACTCCATTCAAACTTTAAACGTAGGGTTAAATTCGTAACTTTTACCTGTCAGCTCAATTAAGATCTGAAGTATTCAGTTTTTTGATATATTTCATACTTTAGAAAATATTCAGCGTTTTTATGACATTTTCTCCCAAAGGACTAAAAGCCATGAACAATGCTTGGATTTTACAGTGCAAGTTTTTACTGAAAACTAACAATAAATACTTGTAGAATCTGTGTTAATCAGTGGTGGCAGCAAACCGATCCATAATCGATTTGTCACGTCTGCTGTGTTTTACGTCATCTCCCCGCGCCGGCCGACCCCCCACATGTAAACATTTCACGTTTCTTGAGAATATTTACCTCAAATGGCACCGACGGATCAGAAAATGAAAAGTAATAAGTTTACAGCGAAAGATGGCAACTGGAAGAAATCAAAAAATAATGCACAGGGTGTCAAGAAAAAGAGGAAATGGATCCCGGAGCACAAAGTATTCGAAGGCAGCGTTAAAGAGGGTAAGGTTTAGTTTTTTTCTAAACTCAATCAACAGCTTCTCTGTTAAAGTAGTTGAAGTAGTTAGATACTGGATGGGAGGATGGTTAAATCACACAGCTGCATTTACAGAGAAAGATAGCCAACAGTGAGGCACAGCCTATCTAACCTTGTATGTAATTTACCCTCTAGAAATGCACGTTGCCAAACTCAGTAAAGAAATATAATGATTTAATTTTGCCTTTTTGTTTGTCAAAATTTGATACTAGCTAAAACGTTTTAAAACATGTTTATTTAAACAGCGTCTTCTATTAAATTTGGCAGATAATATATCCACCAATGATGGAGCTTTTATTTAAACATAATATTAACTTGAACTTGTGGTATGCATTTTTACTCTTCAGGTCAGGGGTTTGCATTCAAGAGGAAGGAGAAAGTCAGACATGAGTACAACAAGCTGCTGCGAAAGGAGAAGAGGAAGAACCCTGAGTCTAAACCGCTATACAAGGAGGAGTATCCAGAACACCTCAGGCACCTTTACATGGCTGAGGCAGAGAAACTGCAACAGGAGGCCTGGATGAACAGAATGAACAGGAGTAAACTGAGAATGAAGGGGAAGGAGAAGGGAAAGGAGACAGCTGAAAATGATGCTGTTGCACAACAGAGTGAAGCTGCTGATCCAGATCCAGAAGTTACTGGTGGATCTGAACTGACAGATTCTGTGACTGGAAACCCTGACCCGACTGCAGCCTCAGAGAGAGAAAGGTAAGAACTAACTTTTTTTTTTTTTTTTGCGTGAAGTTTAAAACAATAAAATAAACATTTCTTTTCAGGCACCACTGTCCACCTCTGTGTGGACATTTTTCAGAATTTGTAAGACTGTTTTGAATGACTATTTAAATGAAATAGAGAAAACACACTTCAACCTAAAAGTAAGGTGTTTGATGAAGTTTCCACTGGCTTACATTTCAAAATTTTTCATTACACACATTGTATATAGAAGTAAAATTGTGCAAGTTTTTAAGTTGTTTTAAATTTCATAAAGAAGAAAAATTACCACTACAAGATCCGAGTCATTGTATTTATCAAATTATTACTGCTTTGTACATACAGTATCATGTTGATGTGTTAGATGCTCATTATTTGTTTTTGGGAAAACAATTCAACTCCAAGTTAAAGTGAAAAGTGTTTCAGGGCCCATAAAACAAAGCCTTGAATTGGTTTAGCTTGAGGACAGCTCATCTAATATGATTCTCTGTGAAACTCCAGAAATGTTTGCATCTATAGTCAAACCCAGAATTCCTTCTGTTAAAGTGGAAACATTAAAATTTGGTTGGAGTTTGGTTTTGTCATTCACTATTTTTCTTAATTTTCATTTGCTGATTAGGAAATATAGTAATATTGCCTTTCTGACGTTCTCTTCCAGTCTTCCAATAAGCAACCGCATGAGGAAGAAAATGCTGAAGAAGACGTCATACCAGAGGACAAAAGAGGAATTTGAGAGTGTCAAAGAAAAACGGAAAAAAAAGAAAGAGGTGAGCTAATTTAGGTTACAGGTTATTATATTATTAACATTCATTCATGGGAAAAAAATAAGGCCTCCTCTGTTTTTTGACACTTTTTTTTATGTCAAATCAAAATACAGTCTTTCGTTCCACTGACAGGTTGTCTTGTTCTTTTTCCTCAGGAGTACCTGAAGAACAAGCAGCAGAAAGAAGAAGCCATTCAGAAATACAAACAGAAAAAGATGGAGACTTTCCAGATGCTGAGCAAAAAGACCAAGAAAGGACAACCCAATCTCAACCTCCAGATGGAGTATTTGCTTCAGAGGATCCAAGGAACCGAGAAATGACTCCAGGGTCAAAGCTGATCCTGTGGAATGAATGAACAAAAGAACGGACCTTCCCTGTATTTGACTATGTTGTTAAACAGCCTGTCGAGGTGCATTGGAATCATGCTTCCACTTGCGTCTTTTCAGTACTGATTTATATGTAGAGTGACAATGTGAGTCTAGTTTGCCTCTACACTAAACACAGAGTGAAAGCTTGTGGTTGTTTAATTTGATCTGTGCTTTTACTTTTATATTGTAATTTTGCAGCTGCAGCCCATCTTTAGTCTCAGACCACAAGATGGCATTGTAAGATATGAAGAGGTTGGAAACATGCTCATGTAAGAGATCTATTAATCAATAAATGTTTGAGTTTCCTGTAAATTATTTTGAAATGGGAAATAAATACCAGCTTTAGTAAATTGCCGTGACTCAATCATTTAGCAACAGTCTGATCGTTTTGTTTAAAAAGTTACTCAAAAAGCTGTTTTCCTTTAGATCCTTAAACCCCCTGTCAATAACACATTAACATTCAAGATACTGTGGTCTTGAGCCTGCTGTTGTCATAGTTACAGACGATGTAAACATGTTGCATGCATGTAGCCCGCATAAAGAGAGTTCACTCTGCAGCCCTCTCTCTCTCTCTCAGTGTGGGAGCAGCGTGCGGACGCAGGCTGAAAAGCCTCAGGCCGCTTCCTCATGACATCACATGGTTGCAGAATGACTTGTCTGACATTCATCTGTGAAGCAAGACTTCCTAAACACAGAGCGCGGTCACTGCTCTGTTGATACTGAGGGCGGAAAAAAGGCTTCATTTTCTTGTGCGTATCATTTGTAAAAGGTAAGTTTCTGGGTTATTTAAAGAAGCAATTTTTAATTTTAAAGCTGAAAGGAACTGAAAGAATTTGCCATGAGTTTCTTTTTACATGTAAAGCAAGGCCTGAAACTTTTTGTATCTATCACACTTGTTATTTAGAAGAGTGTGTTTTACTGCACAGGGTGAAATACACATGATACTTCTTGTAAAAGTTTTTATTTGTACTCAAGAAGAAAAAACCCCCATGAGGAAACAAAGATGAGTGTTTTTAACCATTGCCATTTCTTAATAGTTTTGTCTGAATTGTGCCATCCAGTCTCTTAGCCACCACTAGAACAAACTTTACCATCTCGAGAGTTTAGGCAACTTTCAAAATCACTCATCTGCCTCTCAGATTTCACTGACTGCAGTTGTTTGCTACATACTGTATTTAGAATCTCTGACAAGACGGGCTGCGCTCCAGATCGGAACAGAACAAACAAGACAAGTACTTCAAAACCTTGTTTGAGTTATGCAGTTGTGATGGAGACAAAGAACCGCTGCAAAAGCACAAAAAGCAGAGACATTGTACAGTCTGGAATTCAGCCTCTTGGTGACGGCTCTTGCAGGCATTATGCCATCATGTGTTCTGTATGGTGGGGTATTAAGATAATCCTTTTCACTGTGTTTACATACCTTTGTGAGTTGCTTGTTCCGGGCTTACTAGAATTAGAAAAGGGAAGTACTGTATAGTTGTAACAAGTGTGGTACTGTTGCATTAATGTTCTGATTACTTAGGAAACTCACCAGTTTTCTCCCCCTTCCCAGTGCTGCAGTAAGTTTTAAGTTTGACTGCTGTATTTGTAATATTTCTCTCTGCCTCACAGGAGCCTGCAAGCAGTTTTGAGTGTATTTACGTTATCAGTGATCTCAACATCTGATGCTACTTCCTGTCTCTGTCGTCATGGCGACTGTGAGAGCCCCAGAGCACAGGATACAGGGTCAGTGAGGAGGCCTGATGTCTGATTCCACTCCTGACTGCCGCTGAAGTACATGCTACTTACGCACCGTGTCACTCAAGTGTCCTTAAAAAGAGCCACAGACATGGAGGAGGAGAGCAGGGTGAATGGCTTTGAACTGAACCCAGAGAGGAGGAGTTCAGACTGGGGTCGCATCACCCTGCTGGACAAGACCAAGGAGTTCTTCCAGACCTGCGACGTGGAGGGCAAAGGCTTCATTACCCGCACTGATATGAGGGTTAGAAAAGGAGTGTGTGTGTGTGTATGTTTCCGGGGTTTGAGAGGGGAATGGGGTGACTAAAGCTTACTAGGACATTTGTAAAGTCTGCACACTGTTGGAGCTCCAGGCGGTCCAGAATATAAAGAGGGATGTACTGATGGCTTGATTTTAGGGCAGAAACTACGGATCTATGCAGTCATTTTCAAACTTGTAGTCTTCAGCCCCAGGTAGCACTGACTCAAATGACATCACTTGAGGCAATTTATCATAATACCACACTGCTCCTTAGTGAGCCACAAAAGGCTCTATACACATTTGACCTCATAAAAATAGTTTGATGTGTACAATAAGTAGATCTCCCCTTTAGTCATTTGGTTTAAAAACTTGTAGACAATCGTAAAAATAAATGTCCATCACAAGTTCATGGAGCTCAAGGCTGCGTCTTCACAATGCTCATTTTGTTGAAGTTCTGAAGGCGAAGATATTCCGGTTATAAGGTTTTCCTTGACAAATTGAATCGTCTGATCAAATAATTGTTTCAGCGCCACGTGATTCTAAACTGCCTTTAAAGCATAAGACCTTTTCTTTTTTTAGGTTTGTTTTTCCTAAACCAACTCATCCTTTAATGTCTCTCGTTCTTTGTCTGAAAATGCATGGCCGCTCTGCGAATTCATTAAGCCTCCGCTGAGAACAATAGGTCAAGAGGACACGCTTTTACCTTTAATGACAGTGAATGGCAAGCAGGAAACACTTAGTGTCATGGTTGTCTTTCAATTCTGAGATTTTTTTTTTTTTTTTTTTTTTTTTTAAATGTTATATCACCATTGTAAAAGAAGCACTTCACCCACTCACACACACTGAAACAGGCGCTGAGGCGACTGTGTAGCACCATTGATGGAAATGTTTACGAGTATAGGTACAGCTCACTCTTGCACACATCATTTCACTGGCTGAAATGAGGGACACAGGCAGGAACAATGCGCAGAAACCCTCTTCAAAGCACTAACAACATCCGAGCTGTGCTGTCAGTTAATTAGGACAGGGCTCTTTTGAGCTTTGCGCCTTTTGTTGCTGTTGTTGGTGTTGAGGGCTTCCAAAAAAGGCTCTGTACAGTGACACATGAAACAGCCATTTTGTGCTAGTGTTTATCCTATGGAGGGTGTGCTTGAGTTATAACCACACAGAGTCAGATATGGCAGATTTAAGGCCCTAGTTTTTTTTTTATGTGACATTTATTGATTTATATACTAATGGTAGTATCATAAAAGTTACTTTAAATTCTTTCTAATCCAACTCCTAAACGTGTCAGTCAACTATGTGTCATATTTTTGTACAGTCCAGCTCAGTGAAATAGCATTTAAATATGTCTTTGTGTTTTCCTGGCAGAGGCTGCACAGAGAGCTGCCTCTGTCTGCAGAGGAGCTGGAGGATGTGTTTGTCTCTCTGGATACGGGCCGCACTGGTTACCTCACACTGGAGGCATTCTCCTCTGGATTCAGTAGGTTTTCCTGCAGTGCGAGGGCTTTAGCTTGCTTCATATAGCTTATCTCAATCTACAGTTTAAACTGCATTCTGTCTGTCAAAGCTGGAACGAACAACATTCAAATATGGCGTATTAGCCAATTTCAAGGGAAATAACACATGTCATACGAGGGCTCTGTGTTTGAAGCCTTTAAATGCTTAAAGCAAGACTATATAATTTTAGCTACTGTTTTAGCTTTAGTAAAAGTAACAGGATGGTAATACATGCTAAATGCAGTATAACTGTAACAAGACTAGAGTCATACAGTCAATGATTGTGTTGCGGTTATTACTTAAATTTTCATGTTAAACAAGAAAGATAATAGCATGATACGCTTTGGAAATTTACTTTTAAGCTAAAGCTAAAGCTAAAGCTAATATGCGTCTGTGGTGTTCATTTAAAAGTCCTTCTGCTTCCCCTCAGGTCAGTTCCTGCACGGCCGGAGGATCTCTGTCACAGACGACCAAAATCAGACCCCCAGCCCCATCTTAAGAACCAAGGAAGCCCTTTATCAGAGCCAATGGGAAGCCAAGCTGTCAGGAGTTGAAGATGAGGAGGAAGGGCACTTCTGTATGCTGCTGGAGAGCCTGGGAGCCAGTAATGTGTTTGAGGAGTGAGTGTGAACACTGGAAACCCTTATCGGGCGTATATGTATTTTTTCTTACATGCTGTATGACCTCAGTGGTCCATATGTGACAAGAGGAAGCCGTGAGATGTGGTTCTACTTGACTCATCTCCCTCAATGTGTCTTCTGCGCTTTCTTGTTCTTCAGTCCAGACGAGGTGCGCAGTCTCTGGGCCCAGCTCAGGCGAGATGAGCCGCACCTCCTCTCCAATTTCGAGGAGTTCCTGGCCCGGGTCACCCACCAAATAAAAGAGGCCCACCAGGAAAAGAAGGAAATGGAGAGCGCCCTCCAGAGGTAGGTAGACAGAACACACACGCACTCATGCATGTGTGTGTGTGGGGGGGGGGGGGGGGGGGGGGGGGTCAAATAGAAACACAGGGATTAAAGGAACCGGGTGTTTATTTACTGAGGTGACAAAAGGTCACATTTAAAGCATTTAAGTGCTGTGCTTCTTTAGCCACCTAAAGAATGGGTGACATAATGGTGGATTTGTGGGTGTGTGTTTGTGTTTATATTACTGCCTGTAGCCTGAGAGTGTTTTTATGGATTTACCTGTAATTCTCTATAGAACAACCTCTTTATCCGTGTCAAATGACCTCTAATCTGGAGGCACACTCTGAAGTCCGACCACCTTCTGCTGGTGTGGAAACACATTAAGATCACTAGTCTGAGGGGACATGAAAAGCAGTGAGAAGTGTTATATATCTCGGTCAGTATATTCATAGCTTTACTTTAATAATATGCAGTGCAACATGCTTTATGATTATTGAGATAGTGTCAAATTGCAGGCGTGCACGGGGTTTGTTGATGTGATGTCAAACATGCATATGGAAGTTTTCCCATGGCACTGCATGGTACTGTGTAACAGCTTGTTATTCCTCTAGACTAATACTAAGTGGCTGATTTGGGTCTTAACAATTGTCAGAGGGAATGTAAATACCACTCAGTATTCTTTTGAAAAATGAAGCTCAGTGTGTGTGTGTGTGTGTGCGTGTGTGTGCGTGTATGTGCATGTGTGTGTGAGTTTTTACATGTAATTACAGTTACAGAGGGAATAATACAACCTTAAGCTCAGCCTAGACAACAATGCCAGTCTGTTCCTACATGTCGGGGGTATTATGTCATACTGTGTGTGCCTGTTTTAACAGTGTTAACATCCCTAATGTTTAGTACTGTCCCTCTTTGCAGGAAGGCTGCGACACATGACAGTGAGATCCGTCATTTATATGAAGAGATGGAGGCACAGATCAAAAATGAGAAAGACCGGCTGCTGCTTCAGGTGCTCAAAACGAAAACTCAATTGTTTTCCGTTTCATATTGCTGCTGTTTTGGCAAGATGTTAAACCTTAATCACATGCCGCTCTTTAACCTTTTCTTCTCCTGGCCACACAGGACTCTGAGCGTCTTCAGCTGCGCAGCCAGGACCTGGAGCACCAGCTGTTTTCAAAGGAAAGAGAGCTGGAGCAGCTTTTCAAGAAACAGAAAAGGGTGAGTGGATATGCACAGCACGTCCTGACACAAGTTTAACCACAACAACATCCACTCACACAAGATTTAGATTCTATATTCAATTGGAAAACGACTTGTAAGATCAAATAGATCCATTACTATAAAAAAAAAGTCCATGTAATGTTCATAATGTTTGTGGTAATAATCTTCACCTCCTCATCATGTGTTGTGGGGAGGGGATTTAACCTGCTCCCTTTGCTCCAGACACACTCTAAGCACACTCACCCAGCGTTAGTGCATTTTCATCCCTCTCCAGTTAGAGCTCCAGTGCCACGAGCTGAGCAGCGAGAAGCAGGAGAGCCATGTGGAGAACGTCAAGCTGAAGATGACCAACGACGAGCTGTCCCGAGCGCTGGAGAGCACCAGCCAGGAGCTGACGCTGGCCCAGGAACAGCTGGCCATACTGCAGGAGCAGGCCGCCCGGCTGCACCGGGAGAAAGAGATGTGAGTATATACACACACACACACACACACACACACACTCACTACACAGATCTATCTCTAGTATTGTTTGTATTAACATTTATCTAAGAGTGTTTCCTCACCACAGTTAGTTCCTAACTATATCGGAGATATTCCTAATCCTATTCATTACCCTACACCAAGCTTTAACTTTAAACAAACCCTTAAAGAAGTGACCACATTTGGTTTGCGAGATTACAAACACACACTCACTTGTACTTTTACTGAGAATTGAGTGTTTCTGTCTTGTTTCAGGGAAATGTACAGAGTAACAGAGGGACTGCAGAGAGAAAAGCAGAGTCTCATGAAGCAGCTTGATCTCCTCAGGTATGATGAGGACATCCCATGAGCTCTTGTCAAACCCGGCTAGTAGCTGCTTTTAATCTTTTTAGTGTCTGGTTGAGCTCCTAATTGGCAAACTTTACAAATCAGATTCCAAAGTAAGTTCAAGGATTTTCAAAGACTTAACTTGGGGGCAGGTTTAAAACACTTTTTAGACTTTTCAGTGCATGTTTTCATTGAAAAGATTCAAACTTTCTTCTCCTCTCTTTCATTTCAGAGAGATGAACAAACATTTGAAGGATGAGCGAGACATATGCTGCGGTGTAGTAAGTGGATGCTGTTTTATGTCTCAGTGGTTATCTATTATGGCATTACCTGACTGATTTAAAAAAAAAAAACAAAAAAAAAACTTTTTAACACGTCCCCTTTTGTTTAAACAAGCCTCGAACTTCACTCAGAAAGAAGCAGAAGCAGAGAGCGGGCCTCGCCAACATATTTGATGACACCAGCCAGCCGACAAAAAGGTGATTCATTTGTCATCCCTGTACTCTTTTAACACAAATCACCCCCGTCAGATTGTTTCCTGTGTGTCAAAGAAGAATTTCCTCTTCAGTGTGTTGTGAAAATCATGTATCAAAGGAGGAAAAACAGAGGATATCTGATTCTATACACTTCCAAAAATCAATTAAATTAACATTTTAGTTTAATAACACTCAAATCAGACACATTTGAGCACTTTGGCCTCCAGATTTTCACCTAACTCAAGTGAATTGATCCAGTATATCCTCTGTTTCTCCTCTGTTTCCAAAGAGCCCCACTGTTGGTGGATGGGTCCTACCAGTCTCTGGAGGCCTTGCCTATAGAGCACCTTCAAATCGTGTTTGTTGCTTCCTCCTCCTGTAGTGAGGATGATACCACCACCACCACCGCTACCACCTCCTCCACCACTGTTAGCGCCCCTGTGTGTCAACAGCGCCCTGCAGCAAAGAAGAACTCTGGCTTAGCCAACGGCTGCGCTAACCCTGCTCCCCCCAAAGTGCACGATGTGAAGGCGAAGGCCAGAAAAGCGCCCAGCAAGATGGCTGCCCCCAAGAGGGTGACAGGCAGAAGCAGAGAAAGAGGGAAGAAGGTGGAAATTGAGAAGAAGACGGGGGTAGAAGAGGAGGTGTTGGACGCCCCTCCAGATGGGTGGCCCCTCCGTCGAGTCATCTCCATCGAGGAGGATCACCTACCCCACCTGCTCCACGGTGGGCCCCAGCCCTTAATGCACCAGCTCAGTGAGGAGGAAGACGAGGAGGATGAAGAGGAGGAAGAAGGAGCACAGAGTGACACAGAATCTACTGTTGTCACAGCAACAGCCCGTTCTGCCACCCAAACTTCTAGTTACATTCCAGTGTTGGCGGAAGCTCCTTCAGTGAGGAAATCCCGCATTGCCCGAGCAAAAAAGACGCCCACGGCCCCAAGAGGACAGCCTCTCGGGAAGGACACTCAGCAAGTTCGTCCACAGCTTTGGTGCTTTAAAGCGACACAAAAAAAAAAATCTTGAATTTATGTGTACAGACAAAGAGCAATTCATTTACAGAGTGTGATCTGAACAAAAATGTTGATCAGTCTCCCTTGCCTGTGTTTTATCATCATCAGAAGTTGACAGAAGGAGCACTGTTCGCCCCGGACCGTCTCTTTAAGGTGGTCCTGGTTGGCAACTCCAGCGTAGGGAAGACATCCCTGCTGCGTTCTTTCTGTGAGGGCTGTTTCCACCCTTCCACCACTGCTACTGTGGGTGAGAAGAAAGACACTGTAATTTTTTCATTGTACAGAAAAGTGTCAGAGGCTGTGTTTGAACAAATGTGAATGGCACGTTAGCGTGTGTGTGTTTGTGGATGCTAACACAGCAGAGGGAGACTTAGCATCACATGAAAGGGCTTGTGAAGTCACACTGGCTGTCTAAGAGCCCTGGCACACATTGTACCGCAGCTTATGTCAGTTCTGATGAATTTTTCCCTTCGCTTTCATCTTTCCCAATCCTCACTCCAGCCTTGTTATCTCCACGTTGTTCAGGCCTTCCTGTCTGAAATGAGGCCCAGTCAATGTCACAGCTCGCTGGGCCCCCTAGTGGCCATTTTTTGTCGCCATTGCTCTGTCAAAAGCTATTACTTTATCTAAACAATCAAAAGTTAAATACAAAAAATGTAGCAACATATTTAATCATTCAAAACAATGACACTAAACAAAATCCCTTCTACTAAGAAAATTTTCATTAATCCTGGTTATATTATGCTGATCTTTGTTGTGTCTTGATCTCAGGTATTGACTACAGTGTGAAGACATTAACCCTGGACAATATGCAGGTAGCCATGCAGCTCTGGGACACAGCTGGTCAAGAGAGGTGAATTTCCTCTTATTATATAGATATAAAACAACTGGAGCTGTTGGATATTTTAACCTAAAACACAGAGAAAATAAAGTCAAAATCAACAAATAATCATTGAAATTCGTAATTAATCATTGTTTATCAATTGTCTGTTTGGGTCTGTAACCCAAAGAGACAGATTATGAATAATGTAATGTATGCTTTAATATATTTTTACTATACTTACATTTTTCAGTGTAATTTTAAATAGTATAATTATAGGTAATACTACTTCAAGTGTATGTTAGCGTATCTTTAGTGTTACTGTATACAGTCATCAGTGTGCTGACATTTGAGCCCTGTTGTTTGACGCAGGTACCGCAGTATAACCAAGCAGTTCTTTCGCAAAGCAGACGGCGTGGTGGTGATGTACGACGTCACCGTGGAGGAGAGCTTCAGGGCCGTGCAACCCTGGCTCACCAATGTCCAGGTCTGACCTTTGACCCAACCCTCGTCCTTTTCATGAGTAGAGTTCGGATATAATAGTTATATTTATATTTATTTATCAAACACAAACCACAAATATCTTTTATTAGCGGTCTTTTTTCCACTTGTAGCGAACATTAGTAGTGAACATTAGTTTTTTAGATTTTTAATTAGCCAATATAGATTTAAATTCTTACTCTTAAATTCTGACTTTACATGTTAAAGCTGTTGCTGTTGAGTGGTATTATAGGAAGTGTAGGGTCCAATGATTTTGGAGCTTGACCCACAGTACAGAAATAAAGTCAGGATATATAAACCTTTAACCTTTGCTTTCTCTTTTGTTTTTTTCTATCTCTTGCATATCCCCCAACTTCCTGGAAGCACAATACTACATCATTTTTTTGGACATTTCTTTTTCAGGAAGCTGCAGGAGAGGGCATCCCCGTCCTCCTTCTAGGCAACAAAATGGACATGGATGTGGAGAGGGAGGTGCCATTTAAAGAAGCTGAGCAACTGGCTTATGTGAGTTTAACTCAAAGCTCATGGATGAGTGAATAAAATGTGTTTTTATTGCTTTCTGCTTTCACACAAAATCATGTCAAGTACAATGGATTACTGGTTCTTTCTCAGTTCTATTCGAAAATGACTGCAACACCGCTGACATTGCTCATGTTGTTGATTCAGGTCATCTTGTCATATTCAGTTGTAATCCCAACACAAAGATGTAGCTATTGACAGCTCTAACTTGTCTTTGTCTACATATCCTGTGCAGGAAAACAAAGTGATGTTCTTTGAGGTCAGTGCCTACACAGGCAAGAATGTGATCGAGTCCCTCACGCACCTGGCCAGGTAAGATCATGGCTGTGAATCAAGTCAGTGCATAATGTAACAGCAGCTGTCAAGGAACAAAAGTCATCAGATACATGATAAAACCACTTGGCAGTAGATGTTCTTTTGTACTTACAACCTTTAGTGAGGAAATTGATTTGTGGTGGTAACACTGTTGGCTCCTCTCCTTTCGTTTCTCTGTGTCTTTGCTCAGAGTGTTAATGGAGCAGGAGGACACAGTGAGAGACCCAACAGTCATCCTCAGTGCTCAGCCCATAAGGAGGAAAGCCTGTTGCAAGTGAAGACACACTGACCGGCGAGAATAAGCTAAAAACTTTGGAAGAAATCTTTCAATGTCTCCTGGACACTGGATTTGCAGTGTTTGAGAACAACGGTGAAATCAGTATTGAAATCGTGTCTTCACTTTGGCACAGACATGCGGTGCAAATTGAAGTGGACATTGAAGGATGGTGCTGCGCCTGTGAACAAACTGCTGTCAGGCCTAAATGATGACGCTCAGAGGATGAGCTTATCTAAAGTGGAAATGAGGCGCTGCACCATTTCCTGTGAGCAATGCTGTGTTGCCAAATCCCAGTAGTGCTGTCTTTAAGATTTAAACATTTTCTGTCATATAATTACTTTCAATAAAAACCTTCACCCAAGAGAAAAAAATCATAAATGTACTACAGGCTTTGCATAACTGAATGTTAGCTTTAAAGTCTTAATTCCTCTGTATTTCTCTGTGTCTGGTGTAGTGTATGTTATGTAGTTATATTTTATTGAACTATACTGAAATAAATTATTTGGAATTCATTGAAATAGTAGTTCTAAATGAAAATCATGTGAGAAAAATCCAACTTGATTCTTTGAAATTTTATTCATCATCACGTTCTTTTTTCATATTCTTTGTCTGGTCCCGAAAACAAAGTGGTTCATGACATATTGCATCTGTGTTTGTTACTGTTTTGAGGCATTGTTCTGTTTTTACTCTGGCACCAAAGTACAGTTGTTCTGATTTATCCTCAATTAAAGAAATAAATAAATCACATTTCATCTTTCTGCAATCAATGAGGCGAAAAACTTTCACATGCAACTAAATAATGAAATAAAACAACTATTGATTACTGTACCTTCAATACAATTATACAGTGTGTAAATCATGAATCTTAACAAATGACCATAGGAAAAACAGTTAATGACTGTGCTGTAACCCTCTCAACATCACACAGATCAATGCTTCTCCATTAGCTGCACTAACAATATAAAGACTGGTAAATGCTTTTCATTTTATACTCAAAATAATTCAATTCCCAGAAACTAGTGACAGAAAAAAAAATCAAGTTCATTTAGGAGGTTACATTCAACGATGTGCCCGAGTTGATCAAGTTGGTACACGTGATGGCACTATTGCTGACAGATACTTGCCTACTCTGATGACATCACTCAAGTGCTGGCTTAATGGCATCCAATCAGATGCGTCGGGGTCGCCCTCGCAGGCCAACTGGAATGCTTGTTGGAGAGCCTGTGCCCCCCTCCCCTCTCTAGGATGTGTCCAAAGGGGCTGAGGGACGGTTCGCACCAGGGGCGCCGTTGTTGTAGTTGTTGTTCCTAACGCATTTTATAGTCGTGGGAAATCGCGGCCTCACATAGTTGTCCTTTAAAGTCGAGCTCGAGGGTGAACTCCAGGTCACGCTACAAAAGATAAAACAATAACCAAGAAATGAACGGCAGGAATATCTATCTAATATCTAATAGCACCTTCACACACAGCAACAGATGCACTTAATATTGTTAAATCCACTAGTGGAAAAAGCTAAATACATTTACCCAGGCACTTCAGGATTCTCTGCTACTTTATACTTTTACTTCACTTATTTCCAGAGACAATTAATGTACTCCACTACATTTATTTGAGAGCTGTAGTTACTAGTTACCCTGCAGATTAAGATTTTACACACAAGACATATGATAAGCTTATGAAACGTGATGCTTTTTAATTCAAGACTAAATAAATGGTTAAAATTAGACCCAATTCTACTCACTGCAACAGTAAAATGCCATCTACAGATGAACATATCAGTAATAATAATCTGGTAACATAATGGAGAATAGTATAATACTCTCAGCAGCCACTTCCTGCACTATGTGTACTTTTACTTTTAGTAGAATAAAAAAAGTGCTATTTGCTAATACTTAACACTTTTACTGACACTTATTCTCTCTAAGGAGAAGAGTCAGATCGATACCACTCTCATCTCTGTCTGTTAAATATGAGGCTACAGCCAGCAGTCACTTAGCTTAGATTAGCACAAAGGCTGGAAAGTGAAGGAAACAGCTAGCCTGACTCTTTCCATAGGTAATTTAATTTTTTACCTTGTGGTATTGCTACTTTACATTTAAGTATATCTGAATAATTTCTCTAACACTGTTTAAATCTAAACTATTGAGAATTTTGTTCTGATCTTTGATTAGTCTTACCACATTCTTCTCATTGGGCCTGACAGCAATACTGCCAAAGATCTCCTCTCCTTTCTTGACAGTTAAGTAGTCCTCTAAGTAAAACACTGTCTGCTTCCAGTGTGTGCTGGGAGCATCTGGAGCTAAGGATAGGATGGAAATAGTGGGAGGGAGAAGAAGAGAAGCGAAAGGGAGGAATATATGTGCATGGAAAAAGAAAGAAATTGAAAAATGATTTAAAAAGATGACCATATTAGAGAGGAGAGGAGGGAAGGTGAAAGGTGTTTAAACAGGAGAGGGGGAAAGCAGAGAGGAGAGGAAATGAGGAAAGAGGTAGGAAAGAGTCATTAAGGGGGAAAGATTTACAAAACAGTTCCGGTAGGCACTGAAGTGCCGTGGGCATGTTAACGTGGAATAAATTGAACAACAAAGCAACTGAAATTTACTCAGCCAGTGGGAGAAACACAGAGGCTTATAGGACAGAACTCCTTCAGTGATGCTCAGCCTCAGGCCCAACAGACTCAGCCAAACATAGAACCTCCTCTACACAGTATTATGTAAGCACTGGATGTATGAATGTATTAACATAAGCTTACATAACAGCTTTGCTACTCTCTCTATTATAGACGTCCTCGACACCATGTTACCAAAAGTGCTTGGTGATTCCGTCGCTGCAAACACGGGGTTGACTCATGTAACACCAGCAGAGTGTAGCCAAGAGCTAAGATGCTGAAGTGCAGGCGCTTCCTTTTAATAGACGCTGATTTATTGCTCAAAATACTTGTGCTCGAGAAATTTGGAAGCTTACAGGACATCAGGAATGTGAAAACGAAATTTACCAGTTCCTCCCTTCATGTACTTTTATGTACCGTTTTATAAATGCCTGCATTTTCTTTGTCTTCTGAGGACATCAGAGCTTCGAGTTAGCCAAAATTATATAGGATTTTTTATTCTTATTATTTTCTCACTTACCGTCAGTGGTAGCCATGAAGATACTTTGTTTTATTTGCTGAGGTTTTGATATTTCTGTCTCATTGAACACATTGCCACTTTCAGACACCATTTCTTTCAAAGAAAGTAGTTCCAGTTGAAATGATTATTTTGAAAGGTACATGTTTCCAGTAATACACTTATTTTCCACATTTCCTATTTTTGTTTTTTTTTTGCTGCAGCAGTAGATGTTTTAAGCAATGTTCTGTGTTTTCACAGTGAATTTAGATTTAAACTGACTGTGTTGGAACCTCTGCTTCTGCTTTGCTTCTGCTTTTCATCCTGGACGTTATCCCAGGAGGGCACAGAGAGTATTTCTGTAAGAGTGACCCTGTGAATGTTGTGTTTCTCTACAATTGCAGGAAGGTTATGCTGTTGCAGTAAAGTGCTGAAAGACAAACCTGGGAAGTGTGAGCGTCTTCCATTAGACAGTATAGTACAATGCACAGTTGAACCTCCATTGTGTGAGGGTGGTGGCAGAAATATCAGAGACAACGTGAGAAATTCCGTGGCTTTATATTACGAGTAGGGATTAGTGAAGAAATATGCTTTTTATGATTTGTGTGAACCAAACCTTTAGGATAGGAAACAGTGGTTATGAGTTATGACTCTGGTGTAGCCTCACCCGTGGAGAAGCCAGTCTTCTTGTGACACTTGGTGAACTCGATGTTGAAATAGGTGACCAGGGCATGGACATAATCGTTGCGTTGAATCTGCAGACAGAAGGCTGAGGTGAAGGACAGGTCCTCTGGCTTCACAGTGTAGATGTCCACTTCCTGGAAAAAAAAACACCCAGTTATTTTATTTTATTTTAAAGACTGCTCTCAAGACATCTCTGCTCTTTTCAATTCATGAATTTACCCTGATGGAATAGCAGCACTGTAATGTAAAACCACATATACACACACAAACACAAGTTGTTACCCCCCACTTGCCATCTCTCACACACATGCAGTGCATGTATATGTCAATCCTTCTTGATTATTCATCATGATTATTCTACGTGTGTGTGTTTGTGTGTGTGTCTCTGTGTGTGTGTGTACGTGTGTGTGTGTGTGTGTGAAAGCCCACAGGTTGAATCACGGCTGGCAAATGAAGCCTGCTCACAGTACACATGCTGTGTGGGTGTCCTCCCTCAAGCCTACAAGGGAGGGAGTATTTGTGTGCGTGTGTGTGTTTGTGTGTGTGTGTGTGTGTGTGTGTGTGTGTGTGACTGAACACAGCATCTGTGTGTTTGCTCATGCTACATCATGAATATGGCCACAATTTTAAGTATCACATTTTGCTACCTGCCAAGTATCACACTGGGTACAAAATAGAGGAGGGGCAGATGTGTCTCTGCTCTGCATGTAGATGATGTCGTATTTAAGAGGATGATTGGGGGGGGGGGGTTACACTGCAACCTGTTCATCTTGCCTTTCCTATTGCGCTGTGGATTGCTTGGCCATGTGGCATCAGCATGACAGATTGTGATTTAACACCTCTGTCCTTTCCAATGATACCAGGCCAGTGTCATATACAGCAAATTGTGGGAGGAGAGGGAAAAAAAAGTCCCTGGGAGTGACTTTGTAATTTTAGCGTGATAGGAATGAGTGGCAGTTTGATTTAAGACGGGGTGAAGTGGCTGGCAGCGAGGGGAAAGGGTGGATAAGCCCTGAATACATGCATGTGAAAGAAATTGAGGCGGTGAAAATTAATTTTCAGGCAGTGTGTCACTAACTAATGAGTAACCCGCCCTCCAACCTGACAAATAAGTCACCTTTTCGAACACAAAAGGAAACCCTCCTTTTTATGTTCTGCGCTTATCCAAGTGATGGAGAGCCCATTTCATTCTCGCTGGTGACTCAATGCCTGCTCTCATGTGAC